ATGCAAAACGAAGTCGTTACAAGCATGTTGTTACAGGAACGAATGTCACACGAGAAACAATCAAGGAAATATCTACCTATATTGTTCGCAAATTGCATTAGCCACTCACAAAGTTCTTGCCGTTTTACTAACATTGTCAAATCTTAAAAGAGTCGCAGTCCAGAGCGAGCCGCAGTCATGATGTGAACGGAACCGACCGGTGACACGTCGTTCCGGATCGAAAGACAGCGACTGACTAATCGTCGATATATAAATAAACGACTGTATAGGTCAAACAAATAAAAATAACGTTTAGAGAGTAATTATTACGTGGCTCTTATGATTCTATCGTATAGCGGATTGAGATTCTCAGTGTCTTTTTTTAAATTGATCGTGTTATTTTGTTCTTTTTTTATGTAAAACATCTCTGCAATCTCCCTCTTCCTTACATTTCTCTCTCTATGCATGATTTCCGTATCGGACCATTTAAAATTATGCCCGTGTGTAAGTCGGTGCTTGCTAACAACGGAGTGTTTATTCACATCTTTTTTGATGTCATCTAAATGTTCCTTCACACGAGTTTCCAAATGTCTTAAGGTTTGTCCAATATAAGAAACGTTACAGTCATTACATTCGATTTTGTAGACCACTCCTGTTTCTTTCATATTTTCGAGCTTATCCTTACCCCGTTTTATAATTGAATCCAGCTTTTTGGGGATCGTGTAAAGGACATCGAGGCCACATCGGTTTACGGTCCGGCGAATATTTTCACTAAGACCCTTAATGTAAAGAAGCGCAATGTATTTTCGGGCGTCGAAAGTATTGCTTACATTATTACAGTCGGTGATGTTATTGCGATGTTTTAATTCTTTTAATCTGTTGTTAATTTGCTTATCAATCAGCTCTTCTGGGAAGCAATTATTCCTAAGGATGTCCCTCACAATTTTAATATTAGAACTGTGAAATTGTTTATTTGAAAGTAAAATTGCATGGTCAACAAGGCTTGTGATTGTATTATATTTGTATTTCAATGGATGGTTGGAAAAGTAATTTACATATCGGCCTGAGAACGTGGGTTTCCTGTGCCAATTAGTCAAAAGCCTGTTGCCATTTGTGATGATGAGAGTATCTAGAAAGGGGATGGCCCCATTTACCTCCAATTCGTGAGTAAATTTTAAACGGGGGTGATAGTTATTAAACGCGTCAAGGACATCCCCAATTTTATCCTTAGGAATTACGGCAATAACATCATCGACATAACGGCGAAAAAACGACAGAGAAAAATTAAGCATAGCAAGACAGTGAGTCTCTAAATCCTCCATCACAATATCCGCTAATATTGGTGAAAGCGGAGATCCCATCGGACTGCCAAAGATCTGTTCATATGTGTCACCATTAAAACTGAAACTCGTAGATCCCAGTACCAGCTCAATAGCATGCAAAAATTGCGGTAAATTAAGCTTCGTGTTACCAGAGATATCCTGCCAACGTTTTTCTATTCCTCTGAGAACTAACTCCTTCGGGATGTTGGTGAAAAGAGCCGTTACATCGAGGGAAACGAGTACCTCATCAGTATTAATCTCAATGTCATTGATTTCTCTTACAAAGGACCAACTGTCCTTGATGTGAGACTTAGGTGGGCGAATAGAGTGATGCAAGATACTGTGGAGAAAGGACGCTACGTTATATAAGGGACTTCCCAAAGCCGAAACAATAATCCGTAGCGGAAAACCATTTTTATGGATCTTTGGCAGCCCGTAACAACGTGGGAGATTACCGTTGGTGCAATTTAAACGCTTGTAGTCCGTGTCCTCGATAATACCACTGTCTCGCCACGATCTGACAAGTTTATTTAATTTCAAGGAGATTTGTCTAATAGGATCTTTCTTTAATTTTTTGTACGTGGACTCGTCTTTAAGTAAATCAGTCATTTTTGTCAAGTATTCATCCCTGTCCATAATAACAGTGACCTGACCCTTGTCAGCCTTCGTGACGAAGACATCGTGGTTTTCTCATAAAAATTTTTTGCATTCCGCGTATCTATTTAATATGCAGCGATCGACCAAATCTACGTGGTTTTTATTCACTAAATATCTATGTAAAGAGTCCGTTAACGACTCACGTACACCATTTACCGCATTCTCCGGAAACCTGTGAGCATTAACTTCGAAATTCTTTATTGTTTCTAAAACGGAATTTTCGCGGTCCTTTTTATCGAATTGGTTAATCGGTAACGCAAAATCTCCCAAACACAGAAAATCTGACACCGAGTTCGGTATCCGCTTATTACTAATGTTGACTAACCATTTCGATTTGTCTATCCTCGAAAAAGGATCTGCCACAATGTTTCGTTTTTCTATTATTCTGTTAAATTTGTTGATAGATTTAACCTTAAGAGTATCATTATATTTCATGACCTTCTCATTGTTACATTCGAAAAACTCGTTAACCAACCTCTCCGGTAAATTTTTGAATAGTTCTTCTTCAATATTAATAATTCTAGATCTTAAATTTTTTAACACATAATGGCAATCACCGATTTCTAGATTTATTATAACACCCTGACTCCGTCTTCTGAGACTGTCTACCTTATTTAACGCCCTATTGCTCCGGAAGCGAAAATTAAACTTCATATTGTAAATGTGCGGCGGTAACACACCGTATTTCCTACAGCGGATTAAAAAAGTGAACTGTTGGCTCACTCTGCAGATCCTGTTTCTTGTGTTGATCCATGACTTCAGTAAAATTGTGTTGTTATGTCCATAATTCTTCGTGATGTTCCCGAAAAATCCATGCCTCATCCAAACCACCATTATCGAGGTCAGTGGTGTGTAAAAATTTTCCAAAATTCTTTGTTTTGTCAGTGAAAAACTAACACAGGTTGTTTTTTTGACCAAACTGACATTTATTCTTACGTTAACTCGACGTTTCGACACTGGTTTTGTGTCCTTATCAAGAGATTTCTAAAAGTATGCAAAAC